AAACACTAAAGCAGCCTCTTTCGATTCTCTCTTGAGATCCACATTTAAGGATCTGTCTTCTCTACCTTTCTTTCAAGCCATTCTCTTGAGCTAAAACTACAGCCTCAGAAAGGGTATGGAGAGAATATGAAAAATTAACAGCCACCCTTGGGCCTGCATCCCATGTAATCCTATGTAATTAGTTTTCCTCCTGTTGCTATGCACTAAAAACCACAGGAGTCCGTATTCTGAAGATCGATGCATCCAAATTGCCTACTGGGAATGCTCCATCTCTTCCCCGCCTCCCCTTCCCCCACTTTCTAGTAGCCTCAATCAAAATACTGTGGAGTAGGAATCAAGAGCCCTTAAAGTTCTTGCTATCTGCATTCCCTGCTTTCTCCCTTGATCTTACTGGATTGCACAGTCCAGAAGAGAAAGTGATGTCTCCGTTAAAACTGCTAAGTGACCCTTCAAAGTATACAATGAGTCTATTAATGATTTTCACAATGAGATAGTTTCTAAAACCCCTGCACCCACCCTTCCCCCCAAAAAAACCTAGAGAAATGGTATCTTCTAATATAGAGATGAAGAGACCAGCATCACGTTTCTAAAAACTAGATACTCAGTGTTCTGATCATAAAGCCTCACATAAGATGTGGTTTTGTGTGAAACCTTCCTAGATTTAACCTCAGTTTTCTTAGCAAGGCACTAGTATGAAAATTTATTTGTGTGTGTGTGTGTGTGTGTGTGTGTGTGTGTGTGTGTGTGTGTGTATGTTCTTGTTCCTATTTGTGTAATGGTTTGTGACAAGTACAATGTATGGACCAGTTTCATAATCTATGAAATGAATCACGAGACTAAGGTGAAGCCAAAACCAAAAAAGAACAGTAACCAAGTCATTGTTTCAGCTTCACACATCCTTTGACATGCATGGCAGTCATCTCACACAAGGGTAGGATCCCACAAATCACTTTTATTTCTGTTTATATAATGATTCTAGCATAAGATGACATGGTCAGAAAGCTGTTGCTGTACTCCCACAATTATCAGTTTTTCTTCTATTGTGGAATTTCCTCCTCCACATTAAAAAAAAAAACATACTCAATATGAAGGGTCATGGTGAGTGAGTTATGCCTAGGGTAAATTTTGAATACAATAGCTATCTAATTTTTGCAGTCTGCCAAATTTTTCTTTAAGTGAATAAATATGTAGGGCACCTCTCCATTACCTTGATCAACACCTAATACCAACCTGACACTTAGAATTAAATTAGAGAAACAAAACTGGATACTTTGAGACTTGGGGGCTGATTATAATACTGGAGCTAAGTGTGGGTTTAAACTCTTCCCTTATCCCATTTAAATCTAACTAGGTATAAACTCTCCATTACTGAGGAGTGGAGGTGTGTCTGCTGAGGTGGAGGTTCCCTTGATGTTCTTGAACGAAGAAACCCAATCCTCCTTTCTGACACACATGGTTGCAATAGAAACAGCTCCTCAACTGCCAGTCTGGTTTTAATCTGTTGTTTCTAGCAAGAGAGGATTTTCAGGGAATGTTAAGAAGAGAGCAAAATTACCAGAACTTACTATAAAATGAAAGTGTTGATGAGAAATCAAATTTTAAACAAGTGCTCAAACTCCTAAACACAAACACATGTAGACACACATGGTGTGTGCTACAAATTTAAAAATTCAAAAGTTTAATATTTTAACAATGTTTGAAGACTGATCAAGGAACTAATTTATATCGCATTTTAAGAAAACACTTCATCTTACTCAAATGAACCCAGAAGTAAAATGTTGTCATATGATGCTGTCATAAAGCAATGTGTCATTTAAACAACAGTCTTGGATAAACTTCTGTATGAACAAGTTTAGCATTGTAACCTTTATAATGTATTAAGTATTTTGTATGGGAATATTTTTAAAGTGCATTGTAGAACTTTTTAAATATTCACAGTTGCCATTATTAAAGATATTTGTTAAACTAAGCAATACCTGTATACTCTTCTTTTGGAAGATGGTTTAGAAGGTGGCAGCTCGTTGGTTACTCTTCCTTCAATACTAAAACACTATTGTAAAAAGTACGAAAATAAGTAGAACTGGTTCTAACAAGTCTTGTGTCTTTTTAATGTCAGTTGGTGCTTCTGGCTTTAAAAGTATTCTGATTTTTTTAAAACCATAAGTTATATAACTTGTTAAAATAAAATTTAGATTTAAAACATATAACTGCTCCATGTAAGGTAGTTTCCTAAGCGATTGGAGAAATGTTAATGTTTATGAAGTTCTTAGAGTATAATAAATATTGTATAGTCCTTGTCCAGGCAACAACTAACTATTAAGTCTCTACTACGCATCTTACAGTTTACAAAGAATTACCTCAAAATACTGAAAATGCATGGATGGTGCATTAACATAAATAAATCTTTACCAAGAGCAAGCCCAGATTTTTCCTTGTGTCTTCCATTGCCTCATGTATGTAATCTGTCTGTTGAATGTATCTGAATCTGTGCCTGACTGAATGATGTCATGTAAATCTGTGCTATGTCTGTGTGTCCCTAGCAAAGGGCTTTTGTTCTGTATTTATTGAACAGTAAAGAAAGCATTATGTGGGGGAAGGGATGGATGCTTTATAGAAGTCTTTAACACCATTTTACAAAGAATGAAACTTTACTGACTCGAACTGTCCCGGGAATAAACAAAACTATCAAACAATATCAAACTGCTACTTATAACATTTGTGGTGGATTTGTTTAAAAGGTTGCTTCCAACCTATTCATTGCTTTCAACAAATGTCTACATGTAACACACAAGTAACCACATACATTGCTCTCTGGGTCAGGGACATGGAAGATTACAACTATGGATTAGCTCATAGAAAATCCAAGGCAAGCAAGGTTGATTATTACATGGTTCCCTCTCTTTTATTTTTGAAATGATATCATTTCCTCCTTCTCTTGTTCTCTTAAAGGCAGCATACACAAACACATTGTACACATTGGCATAGCAGTCTTAAGAGGATTCAAGGTATATTATTATGCTGGATGTGAGGTCCAGCAAAAGTATGTAGGGATATTTTCGTAATAATACAAGAGATATTTTCATAATAATGTGTCACTAGAGCAGACGATTTATTCAAAAATCGTGGTACAGAAGTAGAGTCCTGATAAACTGTCTTTACTAGGAACATGTCCTGGAAAAATTCCCCATGAAAATATTACCAGTCATAGGAGCCTGGGCAGAAGACTCCCAAACAGAACTGGAGTGGCACGGCTGTCTCACAACTTTTTTTTTTTTTTTTTTTCAATTCTGCAATCTGGATGGCTAAGAATGCCAGAATTCTAATGCTAATTCCTATAATCTCATCAATTACATAGCTATACAAATTGTTATAATTTGCTTCCTGTGTGAACACGAAACACCTAAGACATTTATAAAACCTCACATTGCCATGGATATTGTTTATCTCTTCTCCTGATGTGCTTTGTCCTGGGCTTTAGCTATGCCATATGCTTTGGGTTTCTATTAATTCCTGACCACTTTATTTCCATTTCTTGACCACTTTTTTCTTCTAAATTCTATCTAGTTGTATCAGGGGTTTTTGTTTGTTTGCTTGCTTGCATTTTGTTTTTTGTTGTTGTTGTTTTCTTTTTTACTCCTATTACCATGTTTTGTAGTACAAGTCTTTCCTCAGGTCCACACTTAGGTATGCAGTTAAAGTGCATTGCACTTGGAAGTACATGCACCTTGAATTTAACTGACAAAACCAAAATCACGTTGATATGTTCTGTTAAGGGATGAACTATGACCCCATACCTATAATTCCTTCCCTGCTCACTTCCAATTACAACAATTGTGCTTGAACTTCAGGGTCAATTGCACACTTAGGAGATTTTATTATATGATTTGAGTTTCATCTTATTCTTAGATTTCAACTCCTCAGGAGTATAGGCACGTCATATACAACATAATCTCCCATGACTCCTTCATAATTTCCAGTATGTGTTTCTTAGACTAATTTAAGAAATGAAATGGGATTGTGCCGAATCTGCTCCAGTTATATTTTTACTGATTCTTAATCTAAGAGTTTTCAGGTCCACTGACAGAAGTCTTAACACAAAACACTTTCACCACGAATCTTTGGTTTCATTTTACTGAACCACCAAGAAGCATTTCCTCATCACCTCATTTGTGTGCACCGTGTTATTTGTCTGCTACCCAATACCCCATACTTTCTAAAGGCAAGATACACACACATATCCTTGTATCATCAGTGTTTTTCAAAGGGCACTAGAGTAAAGTTGGGGACACTATGGCCACCACATAGGTCTCAAAAAGCCACGTGTGGTCCTGCAGGAGAAGCAGGCTTCATTGTTAAGAGACATGAATAGACAGCTGCATCTGGTAGCTAAGTCAGAAAAGCAACCTACTTGGCGTTTTTTCCCCTGTAAGAAATAAGTCAATGGAGGAAAATAAAATAGACTCAGTTTGACCTCAAAACCGTGAGAGCAGATTTTTATTTATCTTAGAGATCAGTGCCCTTAGGTTCAGTATCCTTGAGTACAGGAGAGCAAATCATGTGGGATCTGACAAGTTTTTGTAGTAGAAAGGGGGAGAGGGACACAGCTCTTCCAGAGTCAGTCAGTGACTGCTTTTCGAAACAGCTGCGTGGAGGATTGCCAATTTTTGCCACCTTTAGTCTCCAAGGAAACCAGTGGGCCAGGTTCCTTGGGTCTGTTTTATGGCCCTGGATTAGGGTGGGTGGTTTCCTTTATTTCTATGTCTAAAGAGCAACAACTTTCTCCGGAGGGGACAGAGTCTCCCCCAAGTAGTTGGCACAAAGAGGAAGTCTGTAGGGAAAACACTAAAGCCTAGTGCCACCTCACTGCAGGCCGCACCTGGTCTGCAAACACAAGAAACATGCCCGGCAGCTAGATCCGCCAGCAGCCGCCTTGAGGACGAGCGCATGCGCAGTAAGCACAGCTCGGGCTTGCCCGCAGACGTCATTCCGGGCCAGGCGGCTCCGCCCTTCCCAAGATGGCGCTGTACTCCGTGCGGAAGGCGCGTGAGTGCTGGAGCCTCATCCGGGCACTTCACAAAGGACCCGCAGCTGCTCCTGCTCCCCAGGTAACCCGAGCCGGCTGGCTGGCCGCGGTAGGCTTCCAGTCTTGCGAGCGCCTTCCCGCTCCCCTTCCCTCCCAGCACTTATTTCTTCCTCCTTGCTTCCTGTAAAGAAAGCTCTGCACTTTCCGGGGTCCACTAGCCTATGAATGCCCCGGACGCGGGGACGTCGCAGACGCACGTGACAGAATAAGGCACTGCCTCTGGAAGGCCCGCGCCGCCCGGCCACGTGGCCACCGTTGCTAGGCAACGCAGGAAGCCATCCCTGGACGAGCGTGAAGTTATCAGAGACCTAGTTGCTCTGAGGTCGTTCTAAGCACCGTTCTGTCTTGTTTTTATCCCCCCTTCCCTAACAGCTACTCCCGGCGCAGCGGAGAAATCAGAAAAGGTGTCTTGGAATTGGTCTGTTTAGGTTGGTGCAGTAGCTAGCAGCGTGGGACGTGAGCAAGTACCGGTGCACCATTCTGGTCCTTTCTTGATGCTTAGGCCTGTATCTACCAGGTCCTGTCACCAGCGGCAACAAGCTGCCAAGGTGCTTCATACTGTTGCTTGCCTGACAGCGCTGCGGGTCACCACGACTGCTGCTGAGTGTGATAGTTTGTGTTGAGACAAAAATACATTTGCATTTTACCCTCAAAGCCAGACGGTGGCAGGGGATATGCTTTCAAACAAGCACCAAACATCCCTGAATATGGCTTTTTGACTTAGGTTATCACGGCAGTAGGGTCTGAGAGACGAAAGGAAATTTGAGTTTCTATGTGAGTTCTGACACTCTGCGTCTTCATCACCATTAATGCACAAATGTCACACAAGAATGTCTTGTCACAGTTGATGCACTGAAAAGCAAGCCGGCCTGGAAGTTAGGAAAACATCCTAGAAGTTCCTGGCTTTTTCTGGCGTTTACTAACTGTGTTATAGATCGAGTCTCAATCCTCTGGGCCCATTTTCTGTAGCAGATGGGATAGAGGAAGAGTTGAACTGATTGGCATGTTAATGTTTTCAAGCCTGTGGGTTCATGACTGTGAAGATAAAGTATAGCCAGTGAGAGCAGATGAAAACCAACATGTAAGATATGTTTCTAATCATCCCATAAGTTACTCATTCTCTGAACTTCTGTTTTCTTCATTAATGTAAACCTCACAGGATTCTGTAAGAATAAAAGACACAATATATTGGAGACTGGGCAAACAACTATTCAAATGTTACTTTAAGTTTTCAGAAACAATGTTAGGTAAGAATTGATTCCAGCTTTAATCTTCAAATCCTGTTTTCCTTGAGGTTTGGGAATTTGATTCTTCAGAATAGAAATTTGATAGGCATATTAAATTGTATGCAACCAAGAACTTCTAGGACAGATTACTATTTTAAAACCCTGAATTTCACTTTAAATAAAAAGAATTAAATGTTAAAGTACTGTTTCTGCTGTGTCATAATGCATTATCACTTAAAAATGATGGCATGGAAGACTAAGGCAAGCTGGGCCTGATGACAGAGGCCTGTAATGTCCGATAGTCTGGAGGCAGAAGTGGAGGCTAGAGGATCACAAGTTGGAGACCAGCCTGGGCTACAAAGTAAGTTCAAGGTCAGTCCGGGTGATTAAGTGAGATTCTTTGTCTCGAAATAAAAAGTAAGAAGATGGCTGGGGATATAGCTAAGTGGCAGGGTGCTTCCCCAGTACACATGATGACCTAGGTGTAAAAACACTAATGAACCCCTCCTGAAAGACTAATGGAAAAGATTAAGCATTATATTCAGAATATGATTGCAATAGTGTTTGTCCATGTGTTCACACACAGGAATAAAGGCTAGAAGGAAACAACCTTTAACATCTTTGTTGTGTTTTTGTTCATCCTAAATAGTGATTAAAAGTAATTTACGTGTGGTTCAAGCATTTGTCTCATGTGGTTCAAATTGCAGATATATCACTGTTATAACCAGAAAAATTTGAAAGCATAAATCTCCATACAAACCTGTAGTCACTGATGCTGTTTAGGCATTTTAGGTTTCTGAAAGAGATACCTGTCCTATATGGCCATTATTAAAGTGGCCTTGGAAAAGGACTCCTAAAAATTTATGGCCACTTTTCCTCTGTGTGTCTTCTTTTTCTATTGAAAAACTTCCTTTGAAGTCCAAGGGATTTTGTGAGCAGATGCAGAAATATGTGAAGGAAGAATTGGATTCTCAAACCAGATGCACTGGACATTTTTATGACATCTCATAACCTTTGTAGAAAACAAAAAATATTTTGTAAGAGCATAGTATAATAGAAAAATGCATATTTATCATATAGGTGGTTTTACCAAACCAAGGAATGATTACTTGTTTGTTGGTTTAGGCTGTTCACGTGCCCCCTGAGGTGGGAGAAGACATAAATGAGCCATAATGTGCTTTGTTAGAATCTGTGACTGAATGGACTGTGAATCCTAAGTTCTTTTAATGTTTTTTTTTTTAAACAATATCTTGGATAAGAAATGTGCATTGATGAGGAATGTGACATGTTGACTCCTTGAGGCTACATGTAAACTCAAACACAAAATATCAAGAAAGGGCCTAGAGGTGTGGCCAGTGCTTGCCTAGTATGGGAGAGGTTCTGGGTTTAGTCTCTGGTATCTTAAAGAGGGGAGTGGGGGAAGAAAATCAAATAAGAGCACATCATACCATATTCATTGTGGATGTCTACAATTTATGTGCAAATGGTTTATTTTGTCAGGTGTTGCTTGACAGAAAACTGTTGAAATCTGATGAGCTGAGAGTAATCACGAAGTCAGAGAAATGAAAATCTGACGTGATGTTTAAAGGCTGATGGCATTAGGTACATTTAAGCCTGTCATCATTGGCCAAACACAGAATCTGCCCTTCTTTAAGCACTCATTCATGATTGTGTTTTGAAAACAATGAAATGTTCTTGGTTAGAAGATTTTTGCAAGATTATTTATAATCATTCAGTTCACATATAAAAAGTCCTCGTTTCATTTTTAGCCCTCCTCATCCTAGGTTTGGCCAACACTGCCCTATTCTTTTTCCTGCTAATGGTCGAAATGTAACCATTAGATGAAAGAAACATGTTTCAGAAAGAAGAAAGAGCCACTGTCTTAAATTTCTGGTCACATAATAAAACTTTTAAAAGAGCTTAAGATTTCCAAAGTTGCAAAATTAGTTCCTGTCTAGCCTGTGGTAGACTTTGCACTAGGAACTCACAATTATCAAAACTGAAACTTAACCACCTTAGATATAAACCAAATTCTAATTTTGCCTGTTTTCCCAGTACTCATATTGCTTCATCCCCAATGGAATGCAGGATCCCACATTTCATTGCTGTGTGTTCTCCAACACAGATTACTCTCTGGTTCTCACTATTGAAAGTAGTGCCTTTGCCACTACTGAAGAGTACAAAGCAGATGTTTTGTAAGGTGGCTTAATGTGAGTTCATCTAGGGATTTCTCGTGGTTAGACCAGAGTTACGGGCTTTGGCAAAAGTAGACAGAAGAGACGTTTCTGACTAGGTAGCGAGGCAGGTGTTACTGCATTAAGAACTAGAAAATAAGATTTGTTTAAGTGCTTTCCCAGTTAATTAGTGGTGGGACTGAGATGGTAAAGTTTACCATGGGCATTTCACTCCACATGCCATGACTGTTGTTGGTTAGGTTTCTCTGATCATAATGCCATGACATTGGGGTGTTCCTGGTAACCTTTGACTCAGTTCCTCTCCAGTTCTGTCTGTGCTGGATGCTCCATCTGCAGTGTCACCTCAGGGTCTAGTTAGTTGAGAGCTGTGCCGGTTTGATCAGACTGTTTCAGTTCTGCTTTTTTAAGTAGTGCAAGGGGGCGCTCTGTGGATCACCTTACAGTTTCTATTCATCTCAAGAACTAAATACATTTGTTGAAAATGTCCTTTAGGTTAGTTGTCTATGTGGACTGAGTTAGTATAAATATAAATGCCTCAAGTGTTTGGAAAGCTAATAAAAAGCACTGCAGGTTTCTGCTGGAAACACCGAGGAAGAACCATAGATAATTCTTAGGGCTGCCGTGAGCAGGGAGTGCTGAAGAGAGAGTGCTACCACCGTCCAGATTCCTTCTCAGTTTATTAGTTTCATGCCTGCATGTGCAGAACTGTCTATACAAAGGAGCTTGTGTGTATGCGTATGTACATAGATAGATACACATATTTGCATAGATATGTGCATATGTGTATATAGATGTATATACTAATGTATATATGCCTACACATACATATATTTATATCTTTTAGAAGAGGAAATGATATTTAGTCAGCACATGCTGTATGCTAAAACATCTTGATCTGTGCTATGAAAACCTCATCTTATTCCTTCCAACGGTTTTTCTAACTTTTATTCTATGCATTTTATGAAAGAAGACACCAAACTCAGGGAGAATAGTTGGCTTTCCCAAGACACAGAACTAGTAGAGAACAGTGCTGGGATGCAAACCTGGAGTTGCCTCTGCATTTTCACTTTATCCTAAATTACCTCTTATCAGTGAAATAGTTTAGGGAGTAGAGGGACACCCATAGTCCTTCTTGTCTGATCCTTCCTCCTCTATTCCCTAGCCACACACACACGCCCCACTGCCCCTGAGATTTGTATTAGGTACAAATGCTGCTTGGCCAATTGACTAGGATTTCTTATATGCTAGCTAAGTCTTAATTATCATAAATCTATATATTTTATAAGACTTATCGGACGCCAGCGGACGCATCCTGTCTTCCCCAGGCTCACATGGTGACTCTGCACTTTCTCCTACCTTTCCCAGAATCCTCCTGACTCCTAGTCCCACCTATCTTGTTTTCCTATTGGCCAACAGTACGTTATCTATCAACCAATAAGACAATCATATACACAGAAGGACCTCCCCATCATACAATATTGAATTTCTTTTTTACTAATTAATTCACTCACTCATTCATTTTTCTCCAGCCCCAACAGTTTCCCCTGCCTCCTCTCCTTTCAGCCCCCCACCCTATTCACTACTCCTCCCTTTCTCTTCAA